AGTCGGTTGAGCGTCCGACTTCGCTCAGGTCACGATCTCACGGTCCGTGAGTTCGAGCCCCGCGTCGGGCTCTGGGCTGATGGCTCAGAGCCTGGAGCCTGCTTCAGATTCTGTGTCTCCCTCTCTCTCTGGCCCTCCCCCCATTCATGCTCTGTCTCTCTCTGTCTCAAAAATAAATAAATGTTAAAAAAAAAAATTAAAAAAAAAAGAAATTATAGTCTAGTGTTGATGGGTGTTTAGCCACAAACATAAATAATACAATAAAAACAGTGTACCTATCATCAGAAAAGTATAATGTGTTACAAAAGCACAGAGGAACACTAATTTTGATTTGTTTTTAAAAGAGAGCAACTGGGAGCTGCCTGCATTTGTGCACTGAGGCTGTCTTCTTACGTGTCTTTGACAGGTGCTGAAGAGAAAATACTTGGAGAATTTAGGGATACGTATAATCCAGCTGCTTCTGATTTTCATCTTCAAGCAATGATCCAGTCTGCTGGTAAACTGGTCCTTATTGATAAATTGCTTCCCAAAATGAAAGCTGGAGGTCATAAAGTGCTCATCTTCTCTCAGATGGTACGCTGCCTTGACATCCTAGAGGACTATCTCATTCATAAAAGGTAAGGCATGTATTCATCTACCGAATTATACTATGAATTACACTAAATACATGCTGCTAAGGATTTGGCATCAGTGTACTGTAACCTAGCTCTACTCACATCTTTCTCTTGATCTAAGTAAGAATCCATTTAATTTGTAAGGATTGCTTAGGATGTTCAGGATGTGTCAGGTGTTCTGTGTATGTTGTACATAGTAGGAGGGGCTAAGGAGACTGATTAAGTAAACTTTGTACATTGATGGGTACTTGTTGACCTAGGAATGGGTTTTTAGTGTACATTTTACTTGATTTGTAAATCTTGGGGTAATGACTCTTTAAATGGACTTATAACCATCTTCAAAAATAAAAGAAAATGGTTCACCTTTTCAGGTCTTTCATTTTAATTAGAACCTGAACTCGCTGCACTTTCACTCTTGCCATTTACCATATGACATTTATTCATGCTTTAATCCTTTCTGATTTGTTTAATGTGGAATTTTGTTTTGGTTCATGACAATAAATCTTAAATAGTGTCTAATCAGTATTTAGATTAAAAGGATATTTATCATAAGGATATGTTCTCAGAACATTCATGGTCTAGTCAGATATCAACATATTTCCATAAAAGGGAATCTGAAGATGCAGCTGTAGATTTTAGTTCAGCAAATTTTGACTCTTATATATAAGTAAAGGCCTAGCTAGTTGAGATTATCGGAAAGTGTGTAGTTCGTTTTCATTTTTTATTTTATTTCTAGTTCTATTTTTAGTTTCAGTGTTACACTCCTGTAGTCTATTTTCAAAATACGTATTATTCTCAACTTTATATCATATGAGATAAAGTTGCAATATTCCTAAGAATGGCTATTCTTACATTTTCTTTATCGTCTTACACAAAGAACTTTATAAGATAAAGATGAATCTCATGGAAAACCCCAAATTTCTTTAATGTCACAAGTCATGTTATTGAAGTCACACCCCCATTTCACAGGTACTAGAGACAACAGTGAGCTCCTGCTGAGACTCTAGTAAATTACATGTATAAAGAAGTGCCTTGAACCACAAGAGGTGTGGCAAATGTGTGTATCCCCCTTCTAGTTCCTAAAGTTTTGTATATTTTAATTGTATTGATGTCTATGAGTTTCTGAATTTTATGTGAATGAGAAAAGATAAAAGAAGTTAAAAGTTAATTGCTTAATAGTAATGACTCTAAAGAATTAGCATTCAAGGCGTCTGGGTGGCTCAGTCGGTTAAGCATCTGACTTCAGCTCAGGTCGTGATCTCGCAGTTCATGAGTTCCAGCCCTGCGTTGGGCTCTGTCCTGACAGCTCAGTCTGGAGCCTGCTTTGGATTCCCTCTCTCTCTGCCCCTGCCCCACTCATGCTCTGTCCCTCTCTCTCATACAGAAATAAATGAACATTAAAAAGTTTTTTAAAAAGAAAAGAATTAGCATTCTACAGAATGATTTGGAATGATCCAGAAAACTTTGGAGTTTTTGAAGCAAATTCTTAATGTTTCATATTGTTAACATCTTGAAAATTTGTTAAATGTTGAAAGCTGTATTATTATTTTCAGATCCTTTTAATAAACAGACATGTTTAAAAAGATGAAAAAGAAAAGAATTAGCATTGTAGTTTGCCCTTGATAGATACATAGTTTGCGATCAAGTATATCTTGAGAGAATAACATGATTGAGACAGAGAAACATTGGGAAGTTTCCTGAGGTTTTATGAAAGTCTTTGATTTTTGTTTAAAAAAAATTTTTTTATTATAATGAGATTAGCAAGGTAGTTTTTGCATTTTTCTTTTGAATTCCAACTTCTGAAAATGATATTATGATGGTATTTTAGTTATACATCAGGAATGCAGAGATTTTGTGTCTTTATATTACTTTGTATTTTCTCCCTACCACCAACACCAAGAGTTAAAAAACCATAGAAACTGGTTGGGGTGATATCGCTTCTTAATTTTATAGTAAATGTAATGTTGCAGGAGAACTGACTTTATATCTGATAGGATGTATGTTTATTTTCATTATATTCATCTAACTAAATCTATGCCATTTCATTTGATAGATATTTATATGAGCGAATTGATGGAAGAGTCAGAGGGAACCTGCGACAAGCTGCTATAGATCGATTTAGTAAACCTGATTCAGATCGATTTGTTTTCCTTCTGTGCACCCGAGCTGGTGGGTTAGGCATCAACTTAACTGCTGCTGATACATGTATAATTTTTGATTCTGATTGGAACCCTCAGAATGACCTGCAGGTAAATACATTCCTTGGCTGAGAGAATTAAATTTCTTATTGGCAGGGGGGCGGGGCACCTGGCTGGCTCAGTCAGTTAAGCATACAACTCTTGGTTTCAGTTCAGGTAATGATCTCACGGTTTGTGAGTTTCAGATAAACATCGGGCTCCATGCTGACAGTGCGGAGCCTGCTTGGGATTCTCTCTCTCCCTCTCCTTCTGCCCCTCTCTGCTCACGCTTGCTCTCTCTCAAAAATAAACTAACTAAATAAATTTCTTTTTTCATTCCTATAACTATTCTTGATACTCCACCTCTTGTATTTTTATCTGAACAAACTACCGTGTATGTTTCCCTAATAGGTTAAATTATCTTAATTTTAATTTAATGATAACAAAATATACTTATTTAGATTATATATTTAGGTTATATATCTTCTAAATAGGTTTACTGACTTGAGTACAGTATTTGTTTGAAGTCTGTTATGTAAATTTGAGAGAGCTTTAAGAATAACATCTTTGTAATAAATAAAAATCCCAGGATCTTACTTTCTGAAAAATAAGCGCTTATCCTAATTTCACCTTCTCAGTCATCATATAATGTAGTACGCATAGAATTAAGACCTAATAGACCATGCCTTTTTATGAAATACAGAATTAAGGTATATGTGTAAGTTAGGACAATACTTGGATCTCATAGAAATAGGAATATTAACACAGTGATCAGATAGCTTCAAAGTATGCAGAAGATAAGCATCGAGGAAAGATATGAAAACATAAAGTTTAAGAGAAATTCTTTTATTGTTCATGGTAGTCTTTATTGTATTGAAATTAATATTATTATTACTTTAGGTAGTTATAATTCCAAATTGTTCCTGAGAATAAACCTGGCTTTCTAAAAAATAAGATTTTAACTTCTTATTTGTGTAACTATATGTATTCTAGTTCAAAATTCAAAGATCCAAATTTAACAGATGAGACAAACTCTATAGAAGGCCAGTTAGTAAATATTTTGGGCTTTTGTAGATCACATAAGGTACCACACATTCCATGTTGTTTGTTTTTATAGTCACTTAAAAGTGTACAAGCACCTGGGTGGCTCAGTTGATTGAGTGTCCAACTTTGGCCCAGGTCATGATCTCACAGTTTGTAGGTATGAGCCTTGCATCAGGCTCTGTGCTGATAGCTCCAAGCCTGGAGCCTGCTTTGGATATTGTGTCTCCCTCTCTCTCTGCCCCTCCCCCACTTCCATTCTGTCTCTCTCTTTCAAAAATAAATAAACGTTAAAAAAAATTTTTTGTTAAAGTGTAAGCCATTCTTTTTTTTTTTTATTTTTATTTTTTTTAATTTTTTTTTTCAACGTTTATTTATTTTTGGGACAGAGAGAGACACAGCATGAATGGGGGAGGGGCAGAGAGAGAGACACAGAATCGGAAACAGGCTCCAGGCTCTGAGCCATCAGCCCAGAGTCTGACGCGGGGCTCGAACTCACGGACCACGAGATCGTGACCTGGCTGAAGTCGGACGCTTAACCGACTGCGCCACCCAAGCGCCCCATAAGCCATTCTTAATTGGCAGGCCAGATTTGGTCCACAGGGTGTAGTTTACCAATCTGTAGGATAAACCCAAATCATGATTATTTGCCTGTTGGGTACATATTTATATTAAAATTGGGGCACCTGTGTGGCTCAGTCGGTTGAGCATCAGACTTCAGCTCAGGTCATGATCTCACAGTTTGTGGGTTCGAGCCCAGCGTCGGGCTCTGTGCTCACAGCTCGGAGCCTGGAGCCTACTTCCGATTCTGTGTCTCCCTCTCTCTCTGCCCCTCCCCCACTCATGTTCTGTCTGTCTGTCTCTCTCTCTCTGTCAAAAATAAATAAACATAAACATTAAAAAAAATTTTAAATTACAGTGCATGTGATGTTCTAAAAGTTAATCTA